CCCCTGCTCCAGCTGCAGCTCCCCTGGGCTGGCCGGTCTCCATCCGAAACCCTCACCTCTGGGAGGCCCCAGCTCCACGAGGAGCCACTCCCTGGCCCAATCCTGCAAGATTCCCATGGGAAGGTGCTGGTGGCCAGCTGGGAGAGGGTGCTCATCAGCTCACAGGGGTGCTGTGCCCCCCTCCTGGCTCCTCTGGCTGTGAGTGCCAGGGGGCTCTGGAAAGGGCTGAAGAGCCTGGCAAGGGCAGGGGATGGATGGAGAGGTAATGGTGGGAAGGGAGGATGCTTTTCCCTTTGACCTTGCTGCCAAATTGCCCTGGAAACGGTAGGGGAGGTCCCAGAGGAGATGGTTGTGTCCCACCATGGGGTGGTGGGTCCCTCCCAGGGCTGGTGGCAATGGGTGAGCATCACCAGGGACAGGCAGCTGGGAGCAGCTTGGTGCCAGGGTGCAAACTGGTGTCACTGGGGGTCCCGGGGCAAGGACATACCCAGGGGATGCAGGGACCTCACAGATGCCAGTGAGCAGTTCAGCTCCATCCTGACGGGCCAGCACAGGATAAATAAAAGTGGTGTCAGGAGGACAGGATGGGACCCACCAGCCTGCCCACCACCCTCCAGCACTCTCAGTTGCTTTGTTCCTCTTCCAGCTCTCAGGCTGCAGACCCCAGCCCTCAGCACAGTGCTCCCAAACCTCTCTGCCTCCTCCCTGCTCCTGGCCCAGTTTTGAATCCCTTCCCATCTGCCTGGTGCTGGGAGGACACCAGCATCCATCCCATCCTTCCCCGTATCCTGCTACCATGATGCCCCCGTGCAGCCCTGGCTCCCTTGCTCCTGCTGCTTTGCCCCCCCAGTCCCCTGCCTCTTCCCAGCCCTTCTGTCCCCCTGTTTCTACAACCCTGGGAGCCTGATCCTGTGTGAGACCCCCCAGCCTCTGTGTAACTGGTGGATCCAGGCTCTTGCTGTGCCCGTGGTGTGGAGGAAGCCCTCCCTGGGGCTGGTGAGTCAGCTCCTCTGCTCTGCTTCCCTCCAGCCTCCTCCTCCCCCTCTGCTCCCTGCCCCGTGCTCCTCAGGTTGCAGCAGCAGCAGCGAGACTTCTTGCTTCTATAAAATATTAATGGTTGCCCAAACCTGCCTGTTACTGCAGGACTGATTCACCTCCTCCCTTGGGCTTTGCTCTGCGTCGAGCACCAGGCCAGGGCAGCTGTGCCCACGGGCACGGGGATAAACCCAGCACCAGCTCCTCTGCCAAAGATCCTGCAGGAACGGGGCTGTCAAAGGGAAGTCTGTGAAACGGGCTGAGGTGAGGCTGGCAGAGACCAGACTCGTGGCAGCTGGCAAAGCCCAACTGCTCTGGTGGGGCAGCCAAGGGGACCTTCCACCCTGGCGGTGACAGACTGGCAACATGCAGGGCACCAGGGGATGGATGCATCTGCCCTGACATAAATCTGGGTACTACGATGCCCTGTCTGAGCACCCCACAGGGTGGCAGAACCCCGTGGGATGACAGGAACCCATGGGTGTCAAAACCCCACTGCCCCATCACACTTCTGGGGACAAGGGACCCTCCAGTGCTCTGGTGAGCTGTGTGCTGCATCTTCTGACCCTGCCCAGCTGGGTGAGCCCTTCCCTCCGTGCTCACAGGTGAAGGGAGATGGCAGAGCTGCCCCCCCTTCAGCAGCCTCCCCTGCCTCTGTGTCCTCTCCTGCAGCCCGAGGGCTTGAGCTCCTTGGCTGCCTTAGAGCCTCACCATCTAAACTCTTTGGAGGGGTGGTGGCTTGTTTTGATGAGGGGGTTGTATCCCCATGGGGTGAGGGCATCCTCACCCTCCGAGCTGCTCAGTTTGGTGTGTCTGAACCAGCAGCTCCCACTGTCCCCCCAGCCCTGACCCCAAACAGCCCAGCTCATCCAGCCTCTGCAGAAGCAAAATGAAAGAGCAGAGAAAAGCAAAACGAAAGAGCAGATGTCCTGCTGACTCCCTCTGGAGCTGCCACTGCCAACAGAGTTCCCTGGGGAGCAGGGGCTCAGAGGGTAAAGCCTGTGGAGAAACTCTTCCCCCAGGACAGAGCCTGGGATGGTGGAGCAGAGGAAGTGGAGAGGGGAGACAAGTCCAAGAGGAGGGAAAATCCATTCTTTCCATTTCTCTCCATCAGCCCATTGCACCCAAGGACTGCACAGTGTAGGAGCTACAGTTTGTTCCCCTCCATCCTGTCCCTCACACATTGCACAGGCAGGCTCATGGAAAATGGAGCAGCCCCTCACAGCATCACAGGGAAAAACAGCTGGAGGAGCATCACCTCCAGCCCCTCCTGGGCCTGGGGCATGATCTGCCAGCATTTTCTCCCACCATCTCTATCCTAGTGTAACCAAAATCCATTGAAGTTCTCATGAAAAGGTTTAATTAAGCAAAAAAGCCCCACATCTGCCAGCAGAACAAAGATCTCCATCCCTGAGCTTCTCAGACACCAGCACCTGGCACATGGACCCAGCCAGCAGGGCTTGGCTGTTCCTGAGGGGTTGGTCCCTGCAGGACTGGTGGGAGTGGTTGGGAAGGAAGTCACCTTCAAATGGGACATATTTAAACACACAGTGCATTGCTCCAACTGGAGCACCCGGGCTTCACCCTCCATCGTGGAGGTGAATGCAGAGAGAAAATGAGCTGATGTTTCTTCATCAGCACATCCAGCCTCCTCCTCACCTCTCACGTGCAAACACAGACACACAGGCTGGTGATGAGCTGCAGATGTTTCAGCTCTCTTGTATAACACTGTATTTAAAACCTGACCATGTTATCAGCTGCAGGACTGACTAGAACAGTTGTCAAGTTCTGATGAATTTCCCCAATGGCAGATGCTGAAATAACCCAGTGGAGGGCAGATGTGCAGCCCCCTCTCCAAGCGCAGAGCAGGGCCCTGGTGCTCCCACCCACCACAGACACCACTCCTGAGCCTCATCCCCCTCTGGAAAGGAAGGGTTTCCCTCCTGTCACCTGCAGCATAATCATAGAATCCCAGACTCGGTTGGGTTGGAAGGAACCTTAAAGATCATTCAGTCTCAACCCCCTGCATGGGCAGGGACACCTCCCACCAGCCCAGGTTGCTCCAAGCCCCATCCAACCTGCCCTTCAACACTGCCAGGGATGGGGCAGCCACAGCTTCTCTGGGCAACCTGGGCCAGGCTCTCACCACCCTCACATAAGAACTTCCTCCTAATGTCCAAGCTAAATTTCCCTTCTTCCAGTTTTAATCCATCCCCCTCATCCCATCCCTCCCTACCCCTGTCCCAAGTCCCTCCCCAGCTTTCCTGGAGCCCCTTCAGGCACTGGAAGGTGCTCTAAGGTCTCCCTGGAGCCTTCTCTTCTCCAGGCTGAACACCCCAACTCTTTCAGCCTGTCTTCCTAATCACATGTACCCCCCTCATGGCCAGCTTGCTGAGACAATAACTGAGGAGTTTGAGCACTTTTGGTTTGAGGGCCAGGCCCAGATGTGTGTAAGGACTGGAGGTGACACTGCCAGCTGAGCCTCGGAGGGGACAGACTCTTGCAAGCAGCTGCTCTCCCAGTGTAAAATGGTGAGTCAGGTGCAAAGATGGGCACACTCTTCTCACTCTGGAAGGCAGATCAGGTGCTCACATCAGGTTTGGACTGCTCTGCACATTTGTCCTGCACAATGGGATACAACCCAAAAGTTCCTGAACAAGCTGGTAAGCCCTGTGGCCTCAGTCATGTGGACAGATCAGCTGAGATCCAGGCACGTCCCATCTGTATTCCCTGCACTCTGGCACCCAGCACAAAGGCAGCTCCCTGATCCAGGCAGACCTGCAGGCTGCCAGCCCAGGGAATTCTGCTCCACAGCCCCTGTTTCCACTCTGTGATCCATGTAGGCAGCAAGTTTGGCTGGAGAGCAAACCACCAGGCCCAGGAAAACTGGCAAAGAGCAGGTCAGGGA